TACAGCTACTGCAATGAGCTGACAACCGAGCTTTTCAGGCACGTTGCTTCATCCAGCCAACTGTTTGGTTTGGAAGGAAGGAACAGGAAGATTTCCTACACTACAGATATATTAAGAGAAGTCAGAAAATTGGACGTATGAAGATCTATATTTTCCATTTATAATACAGTAGTTTAATAGAAGTGTATAAATCACTGAGTTAGAACACTTTAAAATGAAGTTCTGACACTCCCACTGCTTAAAGTAGCATTGTTATTTATAGATATTACATGAAGTCTAATGTTATGTTTAAGTGAGCGTTAAACAGTTCAGGCTGTTGTATTGTTGCTACGCACCGGAGAACCTCTGTCAAAGTGACTTTGGCACCACTGCGTATCCGCCTTTCTCCCTTTGTCTTCCAAACCTTTCACCAGTGTTTGCAGTTATCCATGTGCTCAGCGATGGAACAGCCTATTGTTAGACTAACGAGGGCAAAGTCACACTGGGATTTTTAAAAAAAATTTTAAAAAACCAATTCTTTACCTTGCCTAAAAGACTGTTAAATATTAAACTAGCCATACCAAGGAGTTTAGTGAAAGCAAACACCGTGGGTTTGCTAAACTTAACCTAATAAAGTAGAAAGTTAATGGTCAGGTACAGTGTGTTTTCTGTTTTAGAAAAAAAAAACCAGTAATGACAATACTCTAGTGCAAACCAACAGTGCTTTAGAATGTTTAATTAAAGAGAGCAAAGGTGAAGTGAAGCCTGCAAAACTCCAAAATCTGGCCACAGAGATCTTTTCATGACTTGCAGAAAACCCAGACCTCTCTGGCACTCGGGTCAGAATAGCTCCTGCTGGGGTGTATAATTCTTATAAATTATTTATTTCATTTATTAACAGTATTTATTATTATAATTTTAAATCTTCAGACCACCCACAGAAGTTGCTGTGCTTTGTTCTGTTTCAAGCAGCAAAGGTACCAACCAGAAAATACGGGGTGAAATTGTGTCGTGAGGAAGCTGGAGTGGTTTCCTTTCCCATTCCCATGCAGTTATTAAAAATGTGCATGCACCACAACAGATCTCAGATATGAGGGCATCTCCCTAGCACTCTTTGAGAACAAAGCTGCTGATCACATATGTAAAATTTAAAAAGCAAAGTATAAAGCACAAACCACAGGAGAGCTCAGACTTATTGCCAAGAGTCGAGAGTCTTCACTTAGGTTGAGTGTAATGATTTGGACCTACCTTGACACTACTAATGTGCCCTGGTAAAATCTTCTCATTGCAGGAAAAAACCCCACCTGCACCAGTTTTCTGGACCTGATGTTTTTAAATCAAGTGGTTGTGTTTCAATTCGAAAGATTTCCAAGAGAATGGGGAAGAGAAAGTAAAGGAGGAGAATACGTGAACTCACAGAATGTCTCCTTCCTCTCTGTTTGCAGTAAAAGCATCTCATCCAATACTGTTAAACTTGCTGTTTAAGTATAAAAAACAGGTGGGGAAAATCAGTGTTCATTCTAAACAAAAAACAGACCTAATATTTGAAATTCTCTAGCTACAAGAGGTTGAGTATTGTTGGAAAAAAATACTGAGAATTCATATAGATTTAAGTAGGGAGTTAATAGTGGGGGGGGTTTAAAATCAAAAGCAAACCAACTAAACAAAAATAACACCACAAACAAAAACATGCTCTGTGGGCTGCAGTGAAAGTAATGAACCTCTGTTAAAATTACTGAAGTGTTAAAGGGATGTTTGTGGCCTATGGAAAGACAAAAGTGGCCAATAAAAGCTGTCCTGCTGGTGTTCAGAATGGAACAAGGAAGATAAAAGACTGAGGCAAATCAAGCAGTGAGAGAGGAATAATGATCTATGGTGAAAGAAAAATAAATCTGGAGAACAACTGTAGGAGGTTTACAAAGAATCCAATATAATAATGCAGTGAAATAGATATGAAGGTATTTTACAGAGTATGGATCTGAAGACAATGGAAGCAGGCTTGTCTTTAGGAAGAAAAATCTAAATGGAAAGAAACTTGAGTCCTCACTTTCCAAGGGTTTTTGGGCAGAAGGCAACTTCTTCTATCTTAGTTCTCAGATGCTGATGGCATCTGCAGTGATTAATCAGATATTGTTCCCATCATAGTAGACCAGATAGTGACAGAAATTCACAAATGACAGTAGAAAACCTTTTAGAACATAGTTTTTGTCCAGTGCCCAGAAATACTCTGGCAAATACAGAATGATCTGAAGGCTTAGAGCTTATTTGTTATTCCTCTTACTCTGTTGGCATTGTGATCTCATAGGAGTCCTACATCTGCTGAAGGTCTGGGCATTGAGCTTGAGTGCACTGCTTTCAGGGGAAATGGAGTGGGTCCATTTGCCTTTGCTGATCCTCAACACTAAATGCCCAGCTTGGTTTTGCTTAGGTCACAGCTTTTGCTTAACATGATACTGATTTCTGTGGTTTATATTATGATTTGCTTAAAAGAGAATTTTTATTTTAACATGATGGACTATCTCCTTCTCTCCTTTTTTAGTGTTTTAAATAACTCAGAAATGACTGATCTAACAGCTTTGTAGAGAAGGTTTACATAGAGAAATTCTTCTCCTGGACGGCAGTAACTTTGAAGTTAGGTAGTGTTCAGAAAAGCATCATTCATAAAAACAGCATTAATGAAAGCTGTAAAGGAGACCAAAGAAAAGGGAACAATTGTGATGTTTGTACTTTTTTTTTTTCCCACTTCAAGCAAGCAGACAGACTTTTTTTAACAACGCAGTGCAAATAAGCTAGCTGATGTGTCTGAATGGGCTTTGGGATTCAGCAGATAAACAGAAATTAGCAATGCTGCAATTTGATTTATGGCAAAAGCAGTCTTCAAACAGATTTGGTTTTAGTGTGTATTGCTGTATTCTCATGAAACGGGATCTGAAAATAGGAAAGCCATGTGTGATGACAGAGGAGGAAAGTGCTATTAATCAACACCACTTTTGTTCATGTCTTCAAAGCCGTTCTGCCACCTTTTTCATTTTTATCTTTTCTTAGGTTTTCAGCTTAGTACACATTTGTCATATAAACTTACGTACAGTAGCAGAGTGGCTTGTTCAAGATTAAGTGCTTGTATTCCTAAATTCTTTCTACTTAGAAACGTTGAATGTTTCAAGAATAAGATGTTATTTTTTCAGGACATTGCAAATTAATTAGTTATACATTAAATATAATGAATAACCTTGTATTAAAAACAAACAAACAAACAAAAACAACAACAACAAAAAAAACCTGATGGACTGTTATACTTTTTGCTACTTCAGATTCTGAAAAGGATCCAAAAATATGTCAGTGTTGAAATGACCTGGTATGAGAAAATTTGATGAACCAACCATTTAAACAAAAAAAGGTGTATAAATATGTTACTTCTTTATACATAGAAAGAGTAAACAAAAGTATGTTTTGAGCCCATCAACAGGTTAATACCAAGCATAATTATAGTACAGAAGTATTGGTTTTAAAAAGGAGTTCTCTTCCAGCTGTGTTACCTTAGCCTGTGCATGAGTAGAGGAGGGGGTTGTAAACTAAATTTCCATGGTATTGTTTTAATTAAATTGTGTAGTGCTTGGCTATCTTACTTCTGTAAATAACACAGTATTGGCATTTCCGCTGGATTTTCTGTAGATTCACATCTTCTCTGTGAATTAGTATGCCACTTCTGAGCAGGGAATCCGTTGTTTTGCCTGAAAGGTATTTGCAACTTTTCAGTAGGACAGAGGCTGATCAGCATTACATTAATGGAGATACTGAGAAAGAATTTTTCATCTTTTTCCTGCAAGATGATAGGAAGAATGAGAGAGGATGAATAGCACGAAGATAACCAGCTCCACGAACTAGTTTTTTTGCAAAGCTACATACCGATGCCTTGACCCTGGTGTTGGAGAGCTGCATCTTTGCAGCAGAAGCATCATCCTGCGCTGTCTGATGTCTCAGTCACTGCTTCATTGTTTGTCTCTGAGTTTCCATTCAAATCTTAATTTCACTTTTTGATTTACAAGGTTTGGTAAGGCTGCACTAAAGCCAAGACACCGAGTAAACACTCATGGTTTCTTTTGCCTGTGGTTGCAAACAAAAGGCTATGGAAATGTGAGGGGTTTTATAGTGTACTTGAAAAACAAAAAGGTATCTCCACTTGACAGGAATAACTGCTCCCATAAACTAATGTTGCCATAGCTTGTACGTTACCAAGGTAGATATATCAATAGAAGAGAAAGAAAAGCAGAGGACTGTTTGTTTCTTCATTACCCTGGGCAACAGTATCATCTGTGCCTTTCATTTTTGTAAATGCATTTTTCGAACTCCACAAAAACTTATGTCTATTCTACAACTCTAAAAACCTGAGTAGTCATGGAAGTGTGTCTTGTGTACATTTCTGAAAATGTCAGGGTTTTATTTGTGTCATAGCTTTTATAAGGAGGATGTGAACATGACCTTTGGAGTGCTTTAGATTGGCAGAATCCAGTGATCTAGAGTAGTGTATAATTTTAATTTAGAAATATATTTTCCTTATGCAGTACTTTATTTTAAGTTCCTGTACATGTTGTATTGAATGTGTACTCTTGTTTAACCTGTTAGTAATGATGTATGATCTATTGCACTCAGTAAGAAATGTTTTGAGTAGGTATGTCATACTCTCCTGCCTCTGTTCATACACTGATATTCTTGGCTTCAACTTTTCTATCTAAAGCAAAATAATGCCTTCACAGGTTGTATATTCTTTTGTCCACTACTTCTACAAGTTAGCCAAAAGCGTTCTGTGTTATTTCACAGATGTTTCATAAAGTAGGTAGGACTGATTTTGTAACTTAATGGCAGAGGAGGGGGAAATGAGCACTTTTTAATTTGTTCATTTGAGTAGGCAGGTATACATTGGACAAAGATGTTAGGCAAATGTTGTTTGTTGCTTGTATTTCAAATTAATTTACTTGGTACTAAAAGATGCTCTTCTAAATGCTTTGGCACTTTTTCCCCAGCTCCTGCCAGTGGATGGACATCAAACAGTATTAAATCACCTGGAACAACTGCCCTGAGTGAAAAACCTGACACAGCACCTCAGCTAAATGAACAAGACACGTTGGTTCAGAGAGCAGAGCATATTCCAGCAGGAAAGCGTACTCCCATGTGTGCACACTGTAATCAAGTCATCAGGTTTGTACCTCTTTTCTGGGTGCACTCTTCGCTGGGTACAAAACTGACTGTATGGCCAGGCCCAGAGAGGGGTGATGAATAGAACTAAATCCAGTTGACGACCAGTGGTGTTCCCCAGGGCTCAGTACTGGGGCCAGTCCTGTTTAATATCTTTATCAATCATCTGGGCTGGAATTGAGATGACCTGTTAGTTTGCAGGTGACACCAAGTTGGGTGGGAGTGTTGATCTATATTTGGCATTGCTGAGACTGCACCTCGCATCCTGTTATTCACTTTTGGGCCCCTCACTACAACAAAGACATTGAGCTGCTGGAACATGTCCAGAGAAGGGTAATGCATCTTGTGAAGGGTCTGGAACGCAACGCTCATTAGGAGGAACTGGGATTGTTCAGCTTGGAGAAAAAGAGGCTCAGGGGAGACCTTATCACTCTCTTCAACTACCTGAAAGGAGGTTGCAGTGAGGTGGGGATCGGTCTCTTCTCCCAGGTAACAAGTGATATAACATGGCCTCAAGATGTGACAGGGGAGGCTTAGGTTGGATATTAGGAAAACTTTCTTCACCAAAAGGGTTGTCCAGCACTGGAACAGGGAAGTATTGGAGTCATCATCCCTGGAGGTATTTAAAAGACATGTAGATATGGCACCTACAGACATGGCTTAATGGTGGGTTAATGATTGGACTTGATGATCTTAAAGGTCTTTTCCCATCTAAAGGATTCTGTGATTCTGTTCATCCTGAAGGCTCTCTCACAGCAGGGCTTTGTCTTGTTTTCATGGTTTTTGAGTCTTTGATCACAAGTATTTTAAGGCTTCATTTCAATAGTGCAGAACACTTTTTTTCATGCATAGTTTCTCTAACAAAAATGAGAATACTTCGGAGGAAAAATATTGTGAACTGCTAACAGTCACAGTCTTACAGCCCATTTTACAGAGAATCAGGAAGCTGGGTATTATAGAATGAAAGTAAAACTAAGCAAAAGTAAGCAACTTAGTTTTCACTTATGCACCCATTCCAGTAGAATTGGGAATATTACCTAATTGGAAACCAGAGAGTATAGTCCTATAAAGACTATTCAAAAATGTTGATTTAGAAATCATAATTTCTAGCTGAGAAGAAGAAGAAGAACAGAAGAAAAGCATGAAGTGATATTTTAACAATTACTAGGACTGGATTAATAATAATTTCCTGCACTGCTAGATTTCAAGATCTTTGATGGGCTCTCTGCCTTTGAATATTATGATAGCTACTGTCCTTGACTTGTATGACAGGGGTAGAAAATGTTAAGCAACACAAACACAAGTTTGACAAATGACATTAAGTTAAATAAGTTTTGCTGAGCCCATAAGATATCCTATTGTTAGTCAGAATTTCGTGTGGAGGAAGAATTGAATCTGGGTTGCATTGTTCAGTCAGTGATTTCTGACAATTAGTCGTGATTGTCTCATCCAGGGAACTATAATTGTTTTTATTGCCGATGTACAAATCATCCTCATTTTCATCTATTTCACTTTTTATTTCTTCCCAAAAATAGAGATCTCCTAGGATTATTGGAAGAAATATACTCTTTAGAAGTATTTTCTTCTTGCTTTTTCAGTCATTTTTATTGTTGAACTACAAGGGGAGAGTAATGCATTAAAGTATATTGTTGTTTATTTATCTATACCCCATGTTTTCAGTGGACAAAATACGAGATTCTGCACCATGTTTCACCATGGTTTAAGAAAGAGACTTTTTTATTAGAAAACATAAGTTCTAAAAAATAAGGAACTCTATAAGCTGTATAATTTTCATTGAGTATAATAGAAAGTCAGCTTTTCCACCATGGGCTTTTGTACCCTCTTGAGCCTTGGATTGGATTCTACATCAGAAGCAGCAGCTAACACAAATCACTTGATCTCCAGAGTTCATTTGAGTCCAGTTTGTTTGCTTCCATTAGGTTTCTGTCTGATAGTTCACTACCAGTTCAGTTAATACGGGGTTAATTTTAGAACACTCTTTACTAATGGACCTGTGATGTTTCGGAGAAGTTATTCCTACTTCTAATGTATATGTTGAAGAAATAAAAATTTATGATCCAAATCCCCTTGAAGCAATAGAAGAAACTTATACAAATTCCCAATACAACTGTACCTGTGCTTCTTAATCCAGTATTTTCACTTTCTTGCATAATGAAAAATTACTATCAAAAAGGTATACACACTTTTGGGATGAGATTCATCTGATTCCTTGAACAGTTTGGCATGTATAATAATTCTGTCTCTAGTATGCTGACCTTTTTGTTCCCTGGGCTTTGGATTTGTGTCTAGTAAATAATATGCAAACAACCATTCACTTTCCTTTTTGTTACAGTTATTTTAGTTTAAAACCAAACATAGAAAATTGACTGTGTGCTGCATCTTTCCTGCAAGAGGCTTCATTGCCTTTTACAGCACCAGTGGTTTAGTAGGGTTTGCTTATGCTCTGTGCTGTGGGGTCTCACAGCGTAGCCTACAGATGACTTCTGAGCAGTCAGTCTCTCCTCTTGGCCTTTAAATCATTCTCTGCTACTCCCCACTTTCCCGCTTCGATCACCATTAAAAAAGAGATGAGCTGCTGCCCTGTAAGTAGGGGAGTGTATTGTTCCATGGGGCAACAGTTACTCTGTAGTGGATACACGAGGAGAAACTACAGAGCCCTACTTGACAGTACTTAAGCCATTGTCACCTATTGTAAGTGACACCTTTTTCATGAGTAGCAACTGATACCTACGTCTAACTTCTTTGTAATTTGCTGATGATGTTTAAATTCTTCATATGTTAAATGCCTACTTGATTATTAAAAGCAAACATTCTTCCATTGGAGGATGAGTTGATGTGCATTAATCAATGCCAAATATGCCTCATGTTCGCAACATACAGTGAATTTGGAAGATTGCAATGGCATTTTAATTCCAGTTTTAGCATAATTACACTTCATGCCCTCAGTGGTAGTATTACCTATGAAAAGGTAGGAGGAGGATCAAGTGACATTACATTGTACATCTGTTTTGAGAACAAAATGCATTCTGGAGTTGGTTACTTTACACTCGGGCATAGAATAACCCTGGCTGGTCAAGGCAAAACCTTTCATAGAGACACCTTATAACTTTTTAATATATCTTTAATTATTCATTTAGTGATTGTCTGAAGGTTCCTTTTTTTTTCCAAAGCTACATTAAGTAAGCTTTTCTTTCCATGTAGAATCAAAGCTGGAGGCAAAGTAAATTTCTCTTGATCTGCTCGCTGTGACGGTCTGGCAGACTTCTGGCATTTCCTGATAAAGACTTCTGGTTCCCAGGCAGTCTTACCAAGTTCTACACTGCAGAGTTGGCTCTTTCTTTGAAGTCCAAATGTGTTTTCACTGGATCTCCAATGAGAACATACTCTTTGGCATGTCTACTTGTAAATGATGATTTGGCTTTCCACCTTTTCATAAAGCTTAATTGTTTTAAAAGGCAAAAGGGAAAAAGTACAAACGGTGCTTCCCTTCAGCATCTCTTGTACGCAAATTGTATACTGTGGCATTTTAAGGTGAGGAGAGGAAGACAATTCCAAGACTATAGACTGCTGTATGGTTAAATGTAAAGTGATTGGCCTACCTGCCGGATGTGGAAATCCTTTTGATCTGTCTACCACCAAATTTCAGTTCTGGCTGGCTATCATAATACAAACCACATGAGAAACTAGATTATTGGCATACTAATATAATACATCACGACCATACTGATGAAGTTATATTTAGCTACAAGTGTAAAGACATTGAAATTGGACTTATATTCCCTGTACGTTAATTCTCCTTCCAGTTTTTCCCAATATCATTGCTACATGCAGAGCCCAGATGTTTGAGGTGACTACTAAATTTCTGTACATCGTGATCCTTTGGGGCATAAGATTCTGTAAATACTCTCATAAATAATCATTTAAAAAATATAATCCCTTTTAAAATAAAATCCCTTTTAAAAAATAATAAATAAGTGACTAGTTCATTTTCATCTGTGAGTTCATTTCATGTGGCCTAGATGGTATTGTCAGAAGTTTCTTCAGAAATGCTTAACATGTCAAAGTAACCTGGGATAGAGGCACATTCATAGCCAACCGTTGCCAGTTGGGTCGTCTCATATCCCATGTGGATGGTAGGAGCATGGTTTTTTAGCACTACTTTTAAAAATATGTTCTGGTTGACGGAGGCATGTGGAATTTTTCTTGGGTTTGTTTTTAAATGGAGAAGGAATGTTGAAGCCATCTGCAGCCATCTTCCTAACATTTCATCCCCCTATCTACTTCCTGTCACATTGCATGAATGTGGGCACGCATCCCCTTTACTCAAATTGGGACTTTAAACTCTTTTTCAAATTAATACAGCAAATAAATACCTTTCATTGCTGGAAACTATCATTTTGATTGCAAAATTATGCTGAGACTGGGAACACCTCCAAGTTCTGAATATCATGTTTTAGTGTATTTTACGTGGCAGGTGTTGGTTTGGGGTTTTTTTTTTTCCTTTTCTCCACATGCTTTAGGGGCAGCTTTTAGGTTGCAGGTATCATTAAGCTGCAGTATCAGCTTGACATGTTTAAACTACAGCCTGATTGAAAGTAAAATTGTATTTAGGAAGTGTTCTTCTGGACATGTGTGCACAGGGAGCCAGTCCGCTAATGGAACACCTCATAGACATTGTGCAGGGCACAGCCACAGCTGTCTGGAGACTTTGGGAAAGGAACTCTGTAGGTGCACTCCCAGGCTGTTCCCCATCCGTCTGGGTTCCTGCGCACTGTCCTGAATGGCTAACCTCAACATGTCAGAGCTGTAAACTCTGGAGAGCTAAATGCAGCAGATGTAAAAATTCCTTCCCCTCCTGTTGCTAGCACACTTGCTTTCCATTGCAGAGCTAACTGAACCTATCATTTCGGTGCAGATGGCCAGAAACTCAATACTACCTAGATCCGGGAGAGCCTCTTTGGTGTCAGCCCCGTGTTAATGAATCTCTTAAATTAGCCTGTGCTGACACGGCGCACTGAGAGCACTTTGTTGTACATAAGGGCTTGTATTGTTTGATCAGTACATAACTGAAAGGGCATTGATGTAAAAAGGTGCTTGTAGAGCAGGGAGGGTATCGGGTTAGGTCAGTGTTTGCACTGCTCAGGCATCCGCTGGGAGCAGGGGGCTGGAGAGCTGTGCTCAGCCCCAGCTCCCTCCTTAAAGGGCTGCAGGCTGCTCTCTCCAGGAACCATTTTTCACTGTGTTCTCTCCAATAATCAGAGGTGAATAGAAGAAACTGTCTCAGATTACATATATGTTCATCATCTTACAAGGCCTTTGAGTTATCCTAAATCTGTTTGAGTCCCTTGTTTTTGACTTCTCATCCTATTAAAAATACATAACGTTACCAGAGAAATTGTAGAAGAGAAATAAAAATAATTACCCTCTACCCTTAATGAAGGTGCCCTCTGTTCTCACCCTGCCTATATTCCTATCTTGGAGTCAACATAAGCAAATTTCAAGGTGTTTTTTTGGGCGTTTTGTTTGTTGTTGTTTTTTTCCTGTTGATTTCTTTTCTTTATTGCTGTTGCTTTGTTCATATGAAAATCATACACAAAAACATTCTTGTAGCTTACTTGATTTCCAAAAAAATGTCTAGCAGCAGGTGGTGATATTAGTACCTCACACTTCTTTTTTGCAGTGAAGTATTAGATCAGAAAAAAGTGATGTAGTTCTTGAAAGAATGACATCTTTATTGGCCTTGGAAAAAAACAGGAGTTCTGGTGAGAGAGATAAACTTGAACCACAAAGTTCACCTGAAACCTGTATTCTGGAAAGTTGAGTGTTAGTGGGACCTTGAAAATACCTCACTAAAGTAAATATGGTCATTAAAGAAGTTAGCGTGCTGAATATATTTTCAGATTAATATAGAGACAATGGTATGTACTGGTAGTAATGACTCAGAGGTATTGTAGATTAAGCCTGTTAGCAGCTTTCGCTGGAGCCAACCTAGGAGTATTTGCTGACAATATCTCTTCTTTCTGATCAGAGGACCCTTTTTGGTGGCTTTGGGAAAGTCATGGCATCCAGAGGAGTTCAATTGTGCCCATTGCAAAACTTCCATGGCTTACATTGGATTTGTGGAAGAGAAAGGAATGCTGTATTGTGAGGTCTGCTATGAGAAGTTCTTTGCCCCTGAGTGTTCAAAGTGCCAGAGGAAGATCCTCGGGGTAAGTGACCAGCAAGTGACCTGTTTTTTGGTGGGAACAATAACAACAGTGTTCAGTGAGTCTCTGCAATGAAATTCTCTTTTATCTGTCCCAGTCTGCATTCTTTCAAACATACTCTTAACATACCTTTTTAGCTCCCATTGCACACGAATTATGGTTTTGGCTCTTCTAATGTTCAACCTTTTCAACCTCTTTGAGAAAAGGTGCTGTAGTCTCCTTGACTCTTCCAAGTTCAGCTCCTGTTTTCATGAAGCTGTTCTGTAGCTGTTTACCAAATTTTCTGATTACTAAATTTTCTGATTACCAAATTTTCTGGTTACCAAATTTTCTTGAGCAAAATGCTTTTAATTGGCAGCTTTTTACAGAATGGGGGCAGGGGGAATAAAAAGAAATAATCCTCTTAGCTGAGCTGAGCATTGAAGAGCACAGTGGTTGGCTAGATGTGAAGTACTGAAATATTCCCAGTGGTAATGCAGATAGAAAGACGTGTTATCCTACTCGGCACTTGTATTGCTAATTTGAGCCTGCCAGCTGATCGGCCGCTGTTTTACTGCAGACAGCAACGTGTCTGGATTCTTGTGTAACTGGGGTCATGCAGGGCTCTGGCAGCACAATTCTCAAGTCATATTTGGCACTGTAGCATCTTCCAAAACAACACAGAGCAGTCATAATTTTCTATGTGATGTCTTTTGATTAACTTCACAGACTTCAGGAGAAGGCAGAGATGCTGCTTTTCTTGTTTCATGGGACTGTTGTAGGTGAGACCCTAATTAAAATTAAATAAGTGAACAAATGAGTTGTTAAACCAGTCCAACTCTACACTGAACCTTCCAAAAACCCCGGAAGATTGCTCATGAAAAATAAGTAGATGTACCATAAATAAAGCACCTCATTAAGTTTAACATCGCAGAACTTCTGTACACAACCCACTTTCAAAGTAGCAGTAGGAAACAAAGTATTCTTGAAATGAATCGAGTGTGGAGGCATTGTTACCACAATCTAGTCATCACATCAAAATAATGTGTTCATAACACTTTTTCTAATCCCCACAGGAAGTAATAAATGCTTTGAAACAAACCTGGCACGTTTCCTGCTTCGTGTGTGTGGCTTGTCATAACCCCATCCGCAATAATGTCTTCCACTTAGAAGATGGCGATCCCTACTGTGAGACGGGTAAGAAGCAACATAACCAAAGTTTACTGCAGCTGTGCAGGGAAGCAGAGATCAATAAGGCTGGGAAAAAAATAAATTCTTTTCCTCAAGCCTCAAATCAGAAGTGCCCCAGCAAATTCATGTAACTTTGATATGTCGACTCAAAGTAGCAACAACTGCTGTAGACAACACTTTGGGTTTGCAGCTGGAGAAATTGATGAGAATTTCTTCATCAGCTTTGACAGCAGCAGGCTTCATGTCACTGATTTTACCTTTTCTTGTTAAGCCCTCAGCTGTAGGTATCAGTGATACATCAGAGTGTTAATTTTAGGGTGACTTTCTGGTTTAAAATAATCTGAAGTTTTATTTACTAAACATAAGCAAATGCCAGTGGAGTAATGTGTTTTACTCTGAATAGCCTCATTCACAGCCTGAGGGACTTTGAAGAGAAAGCAGTCTGTCCAGGTAGGTTTTTTGCAGGATCAAGGATAATATCTGTTGTACATACACTTGGGATAAAAAAAAAACTAGGCTGTCAGGAAAAATACAGTGAAACAATTATAGCACTCGAAAGCCTGATGAGCAATATTACATGAATGATGTGGCTTAGAAGTTCAGAGGGATTCTGGATTGGTTTTTAACACTTCCAGCTAATTATAACTTTCTTTATAGAATCATAGAGTGGTTTGGGTTGGAAGGCACCTTAAAGATCATCTAGTTCCAATATCACATGCCATGGGCAGGGACACCTTCTACTAGATCAAGTTGCTCAAAGCACCACCAAATCTGGCCTTGAATACTTCCAGGGATGGGTCATCCACAGCTGCTCTGAGCAACCTGTTCCAGTGCCTTACCAGCCTCACAGTGAAGAATTTCTTCTTAATATCCAATCTAAACCTGCTTTTTTTTTTCGGTTTAAAACCATTCCTCCTTGTCCTGTTTCTACATGCCCTTGTGAAAAGTCCCTCTACAGCTTTCTTGTAGGCTCACTTCAGGTACTGTAAGGCTCCTGTAAGGTCTCGCTGAAGCCTTCTCTTTGCCGGGCTGAACAACCTCAACTCTCTCAGCCTTTCTTCATAGGAGAGGTGCTTCAGCCCTCTGAGCATCTTTGTGACCTTCTCTGGACTTGCCCCAGCAGGTCCATGTCCATCTCATCTTGGAAGCCCAGTACCTTGATGCAGGGCTCCAGGTGGGGTCTCACCAGAGCAGAGTACATGGGGCAGAATCCCCTCCCTTGTCTACTGGCCACTTCTCCTGTGATGTAGCCCAGGATACTTTTGGCTTTCTGGGCTGCAAGCGTACATTGCCAAGTCATATTGAGCTTCTTGTCAACCTATTATTATTAATATGAACAGTTTTTATTTATGTTGATTTGCTAATTTGCTTAAAACTTTCCATGTACCCCTCTGGCCTAGGAAAGAAAGAAATAATTTGTAAAACAATTCCTTTCAAAATGGAAAAGAGACAAAAATATATCAAAATTATCTACTTTCACACTGTGTGCTGCTTACATCTGTGTTGGAACTGTCAGTTGGATCCTTTTTATCGTTTTCCTTCTACTCTTAGGAGCATTACAGTTTAACTAGAGGTAGAAATGGATTGACCAGGAAATGACTTAGCATGAAAGTCTAATGGCCTCTTTGGAGCTAAGATTTCCTTCTGGGCTGATCCCACAGTTGTTTGCAGTGGATGCATGGAGAATGCTAGGTGCTGTAAGGGTGAAGAAAGCAGGCAAAATTTATCCAAAATTTCTGTTGTCAGAGCAGCTTTAACGAGGTATTGGCAGATACAAAAGGACACAGTAGGTTATTGCTAACTTGGTGACACGAGTAGGGTAACGTGTTGCTCCTATTGAATCCGTGGAGCAGCAGAGGATACGGGTATATGAGCAGCATCCTCCAATGTGACAGCATGGTGAAATTTCATCCTGAAGCAATCTGAAGCCCCTAATCCTGGAACCATTTGATGATTCAAAAATAGTACTGGAGGAATCAATAACTCCCCTTTGGGTGGAAAGCTTGTGACCAGGTTTGTTCTGTTAAGGTTCAGTTCTTGTTCCTGCCACCAAATAATCCATATGTCGTGCAGTGCATTGATTTGTGCTACTGTTACAACTCCTGTGCACAAATGTGTGTATTTCAATACTGTGACCAGGAAAAACTGTGATAAAATGTCAAGTGTACTACACTTCTTGCAGAGTTTATTTCAAAGATAGAAAGTTGCTAGCACAAGTTAATGTAGACACATTCTGTGAGGTGTTATTGGCAGCGATACTTTGTAATGGCTCTGGTTCTCTAACTAGATGTTAATTTGAGATATATTAATTCTTCAAAGACTTTCAGTCCAGCTGGAGTTATGAGTCTAAGACTAATTTTAAAGAAATAAGGAATAAATGTCATTTCCAACTTTCCTGCTTCCTAGCATAAAGGAGGGTTCTAATTTTAAATCTGTATTTGAAATTATAACAGCATCAGCTATTAGTATTAAGGGTGTTTAATCTGAAAAATGTTCTGGGTTTGGATGTCAGGGCTAAAATTAAATTAAACGTCCAAATATCTACAACTTTGAACTTTTTTAAGTGCAGAGTTAGTAACCTAGTTTTGAAAATGCAGTATGCAGGAAGCACTGATATGTCACCGTATAAGAAGTCTTACTTGGAAGGCTTCTGTGGTATCGCAATTCAAGCATGCAAAAGCAAAAGAAAGCTGATGCCCTTCATTCTGCCTTATCTATTGCCCTTTCTTCAAAAGAAAAGCGAATAAACTTATCAACACAAACCACAGGCCAATTTATAAAAGGCTTTAACTCCTGGCACCAGGAAAATATCAGTAAGATTCTGTATGAACACAAAGGCAAAGACCTGAAACAGTATGGTCAGGAGATCATGTCCTTCAGGGGTTTTGCACAAGCGTGTCCTAACATTTGATATTTTTATGGTCTTTCTTCTGCTTAAACATTTGCAACTCATCCCAGTAGCATGGATTAATGAAGGTGATCAGTGAAGCAGCTTCTTGCCACTGGCAGCCAGAGGACTTTGCTTTTCTAGAGCACTTGTGTTCCCTATCCTGTTGATGTCTCCTATGATAGTGCATTTTGAGGGAGATCATCACACAGAACACGGTCTCACTAAACAAAAACAGGACTTTGCTCTTGGGCTTGACACATCTTATAATCCTCCACTGGCTCTGCTGCAGTAAGCACTAGAGCTTCAGCACATCTGTAGCAGATCTGTATAATCTAGAGAGAAACAAAATCCACTTCTACCCCTCTTCCCATTCCTTATATATCTCCTTTGAAAACAACCCCTGGCATCTAATTTCTCTGTCAGAGGCAGTATTACTATGGTAGTAACACTTACTTACTGGTAGATGGAGTCCAAAGCTTCATTATGTCTGTCAGTCTGTAGGTCGTCTTAGGAAACCATAATGTTTGCATGATGTGTGCTGATGCCAAATGCTCTCATGTTATAGCACGAATGCTGTTGTCTTCTGTGCAGGAATAAAACGTTTCCTTTCTAGAATGGGGTGTTTTGAGAGTTGAAATAAGTGAAAAAGACCAGACAACTTGAGGTGAAATTTAGGCCTGCACAGGTGGGCAACAAAGGAGTGACTTGCAGCCCTTGAGATGGGGCAAAAGCAGTGTCACACACCAAGACTATGGGGATGGGGGTGAGTTGTCAGTGCCTCCCACCCAATTTTATACATGTATTTTATTCTCTTAGTCTGCTCTACTCTCTCTTTTTGAAGCTCTGCTTGGTTGAGAAATACGAACGATTCAGTGCCATTTGTTTTAGTCCCTGCTCCCTCATACTCCTAGAGGAGTTTTTCTCTGCTAAGTCCAGGAAACCTTCAGAGGCACCAAGTCAATCCAGTGCTTAAAAATGAATGGTGCAAATACACTTCAGAGAGTCTGGTTGCTAATAACCATCCTGACACCCTAGTGATACTTTTTGTTAAATGTAATAAATATATTGCCTTTCAAAGTTTTCAAAGGGTCAGTCTTGCTTTTCTGCATATGCTTTAAAATCTGTTTGTATCTCTTCGCAGATTATTATGCCCTCTTTGGTACCATGTGCCATGGCTGTGAATTCCCCATTGAAGCTGGAGACAGGTTTCTTGAGGCTCTGGGCCACACTTGGCATGACACTTGCTTTGTATGCTCCGTAAGTAAAGCCAGAGTACATTTTAAACAAACCTGTGGCAGCAGCGCTTGTGCTAACCTGACCAATATGGGAGTTAACAGCTCTAACCTCTTTCAATCCCCTGGGCCCAATCAAAAAGTTATTTGGAAGGTGTGTTGCTATTGTAAGCCTTTGGCACAGGTCCAAGAGAAGTTGTCCTGGGTTGCAGCCATGTGTCCTAGCATTTAACCCATGACGTTTACTTCTTTGGAGAAAGTGTTGAAGGTCATATAGGAATGGGCTGCGTTTCCAAAGTAGCAAGAGTGCTTTTGGCATAAAGACACTGTAGCCAAGGTATTGCCTGCTAATATTGCATGACCAAGAAAAAACAACCAACAACCCTAATCTTAATGATTGGGTTGGGTTTGTTTTGTTTGTTTTGTTTTTTAATACTGAGCTTAACTCTGCTCCCAGTTAGAAACCTGTTGTCTTAAAGAAAGATTATAATTACCAACCACTAGTATTACATCAAAAAGAGTATCCCTAAGAAAAAGGTAATTCTTATTCTTTGAATATATTTGTGCATAGAACAATACCATGATTTGGCATTCTGAATAATTGTGGTGAAATTCATCCATCTGAATTGGGTGATCTGTTCTTTTTTATCCCATTTCAGGTATGTAGTGACAGTTTGGAGGGCCAGACTTTCTTCTCCAAGAAGGACAAGCCACTGTGCAAGAAACACGCTCATTCTATCAATATCTGATGCTTGGAGCTCATCATGTGTAACAAATGTACTGAGCAGAAAGGTTAAAATGTCCATGTTCAATAATCGGTTAAAATTATTTATATACAATTTTTCTTAAATGGAAGAGAGATGGGGAAACTTTCAGAGGGTATTGTAAAGTAATTTTTCAGAGCATTTATCATGAAGGTTTTGCTTCATAAAAAGAGAGGAATCAGGAAAAGCACCCAAGCCAAACAATTAGAGTGCCTTGACCTGCACACTTGGCACATTACTGTACTAGTTTCGTGATTTTATGATCACATTTATATCTGTTTCAGTATGAGCAGTGAAGTATCTATAAAAATAAATACCTGATATTAGAAGTCTTGGTTTTGCTGCTCTTGAACAAATAAAAGGAGATTGGCTTCAGCAATCCAGATCGTTTATTGAGGTGATGTTTTTAAAGTGTGTCTAAAAGTATTGCAGCTAAACTCCATTAAAAGGGACTCAAAGCAAAGTTCACACAAAATTTATAATTCTGAAACTAATATTTTTATCTGATACTCATATACATAAAGCCTCCTGCACAATTACATGTACCTGTGCCTTTGCAGTTAAATTTCTGATGGGTTTGCAAGGGACAGAGATTTTTACAAAGCAGTTAAGTGGGCCAGTGGCTATACTGGTAAAAAAGAATAGTTTAGAAGATCCCACTTAGAAGAAAACATGGGATGCTCTTCCTTAACTCATGTATTATCAGAACACTGGCCAAAAAATCCTGCTGCTGAAGGTGTGTTTGACACGATGGAAATGTCAGATCAGATCTTAAGGGAACAGGGATTTACACTCTTCTTTTTGCAGTTCAGGTTTTAGATAGCTTTAAGTGCCTTTCCCCTTTAACGAAAGGGGAAATTGCACTGAATCTCTAGGTAATAGTGTTTTATATTCAGAATGTGAGATTCTGGTATTGAATGAGGGCAACTGCTGAAGTGCAAATGAGGACATTGTTTTTCTCTCAGTACATTCTTTACCATGTAGCTCATGAATATGTATATTGGTGGTGTGCCAGGTAGAGTACTAAAAATTTAACTTTCTTGCTCAGCTGTTATGATTTTTATTAGTTTGAGTTTTATTTCTCTCTTTTCTTTGAGATGTAGGGAATATATTATTGAATAATACTATATTGAGTTAAACAGCTCAATATCTCTCAGATCTTGGAAGGGAGCATAGAGACAATGCTGTCATTATGCATTTACTGTGAGCCAGGAGAGCAGCCAGTTCTGTGGCTTGATATGAATTTTGCATCCACACAGAGAGTCAGCACAAGGCCTGTGCACCAGCTAAGTCCCTACTTAACTTCAAATTAGGGCTTAAGTGGTATGGAGCAACTGTAAGCAGATAGGGAAAAGGTGGTGCCCCTCTGCACAGGGTGAATTTTGCTCCAGCAGAATTGCACAACAGAGAATGGGGTCCTCTTGGGATCAGAGCAGATTCCTGAAGGAAACTGAATTTACATGCTATTTTATTCAGCTGAGATGTCAGGGCTGAATTGTTAGTCTTTTGTACTCTTTCCAATAGGCATTAAAAAAAAACATTTAGTGTTTTTGTTGTTGGGAGGAGGGGCAGAGGGGGGAGGGTGTCTTGATACAAAGGACAGTTTTATCCATAAAACCATGGGGAAAAATCACAAAAAATCACCATGGTTGACTAAAGCAATTGTAATGAGGAACATCAGCAAAAGAGGAAGAAAGAAAACCAAAACTGCTGTACTTAAATATGAAAAGGTATTTGGCTTTCTTATTAATTCGGTGAGACAGGTTCACATTGTGGGGCTGTTTTACTTTATTTCCTGAAGTTGTTTTTCTTCAGTACTACCATGTTTCTTTTTTTAAGTTCTGGTGGTACAGAAGAAATTTGGTAAATTTGGTAAATATTTGTAAATAGGAAGAAGTTTAGTGGTACGGTATAAAGCTGTTTAAAATGTTTACACTCTTGTTGATGTACCCTTCTGTGAGTTTGGCTGAAAATCAGAAGGGTAGAAGCAGACTGGACAAAATACAGTAATATATAAGCCAGGTTGCTTTTGAAATTAAGTAGAATGTGGAAAAATGAAACCTGGAGACTAGGTTTCGGTGGAGCTATATTGCACATGTGTGAGGAAAGAGGGTGGAAATGCACAGGATAAGGCCTTCAATAATTTCTGCAATTCAAACCTTGGTATTTTAATGTAAGATAGAAACTTCTAAGTTTGTCCTTAAAATCCAATTAAATTTTGTTTAGTTTCATAATTTTAATTGGAATTGTATTTTTTAATCTATGTGCTCTAGGGTTTGAAATTTTTCAGTTGTTAATGAATTTGAGGACAAAAGCCTGAAAGGCTTCAATAGAACTGCTTCATGTAGCTGCTTTGCCTTTTAATTTCTACTTTTATCTGTTTGTTTAAAATTTAAAAGGAAGCATAGAGTCACTGATACATAATGAGTATTTAATGGCTTTACCAAATTATATAAATCAACTAAAAGGAACATAATTTTTATTGTTATTTTAATAAGTGAGATTATAGTAGAGCACTTTATAATAATGCCATATTTCTCACTGAATATTTATTACCTTTTTTTTTTATTTAGAACTATTTCATCCTGGTATCTTTGTATTTTGTTTTATTTTTAAGCCTGCCTTTACCTCTAGAATTTTTTGGGGTGCGAGTGTGTGTATGTGTACATGTTTATATATACTTTGTCTATACATGCACACATATACATGTGCATTGAGAGACATACATATATACGTGTATTTGAATGCAGACTTGACGTAGCAAAAATCAGCACAGTTCTATCACTGTGGGATTTCGTGAGACTCCCAAGTGTTTTTCATACAACACATGTATAGCATTCATGCTTTGAGGGCATGTTACAAAGGCAGGAGAGACGTGTTAGTAACATAACTACTGTAGCTTTTTGCATGCATTTTCAGTCAGTAATTGTTTTTCTTCCAAAACTGCCTGTAAGAGAATGGGGCTTAACTCTGTTTGAAGGTAGAAGGTCTTTGTAAGTGAATAATTGATTCACAATGACAGTTTCAGCATATTGTAACTAAATAATTCAAGATTATGTGTAAATATAAATGCTTAATATAACATGCAATAAACATAAAAGCAAAAGTTGAATTGTGGTTCAGTGTGTATTGGTCTGTTCAATTGCGTACCTATTTCTTCACAGAGCTACTTGCATCATCTGGCCATGTGAGCTGCTTTGCAAACATTATTTTATGCTGATCTACTTGCTCTTAAGTCCCGGTGATTTCTTTGCTTGTGTTTAATAATCTTTGGCATCAAAGTTTGGCTGTTCACATTTGCAAATTAAATTATGATTGAAAAACATAACAAGCAAATAAACCCTACTCAAAACCTGAAATTCTCTATCTGTCCTCAGTTATTTTGTGATTGTTGGATGTTTTCTTTTCCTGAATCATAGTCATAAAAGAAAGCCATGATTGTATACAGGAATAGATATCATCTGAGCTGCTCATTCTTCAGGGTTGGATTTTTTTTTGTTTTGTTTTGGGGTTTTTGTGTGGGTTTTTTTTTTGGTTTTTTGTGGGTTTTTTGTTTTGTTTTTGTTTCTTTTGTTTTTGTTTGGTTGGTTTTTGTGGGTTTTTTTGTTTTGTTTTGGGTTTGTTTTGTTTTGTTTTGTTTTTTTGGTTTTTGGGTTTTTTTTGTTTGGTTGGTTTTTGGTTTTTTGTTTGCTTATTTGTGATTTTTTCTTTTGGTTGTTGGTGGTGGTGGTGGTTTTTTTGTTGGTTTTTTTGTTTGGTTTTTTTTGTTTGTTTTTAGAATGGAGTTTTGTTTTACAGAAAAGGACCTGGGGGTCCTGGTGGACACCAAGGTGACCACCAGCCAGTGATATTCCCTTTGTGACAAGAAAGACCAGCAGCCTGCTGAGGTCCATTAGGCAGAGCGTTGGCAGCAGATTGGAGGTGATCCTTCTCTGCTCAGCCTTGGTGAGACACATCTGGAGACCCGAGTCCAGTGCTGGTCTCATCCGTACAGGAGACATGGCTGTACTTGAGTAAAAAGCTAGGAAGATGATTAAGGACATGAAGCATTTTTCATACAAAGAGAGGCTGAGAGAGCTAGGACTTTTCAGCATGGAGAAGAGAGAGCTCAGGGCTAATTTCCTGTGTACAAGTATCTGGACAGAGGAGTCAAGAAAATGGAGCCAGACTTGGTTCAGTGGTAGATAGTGACAGAACAACTGTGAGGATGGTCAAACACTGCCACAGGTTGCCTAGAGAGATTGTGAAGTCTCTGTACTTGGAGATACTCAAAACCCAACTGGACACAGCCCTTGGACTAGTCAAGGTCCTCCATCTCTATAGGTCCCTTCCAACCTTGATGAGTCTCTGATTCTCCATCTTTTCTCAAGATGGATTTAAAGATGTAAATAGTCTATTGATTACTGTAGACTATATAACAGTGTAAAACTCTGTCTTGGCCAATTACTATTTATTTGATATCTTTACCTCATTCTACTGCCCATCTAGAATAATTTGCAATGTTTGTTTAGAGGTGTTTAATATTTTTCCTAAGTTGACACTGTCCAAGGAAATACTGCCTACTCTGGCAAGCATTACCTGATACTGTACTTAGCCTTGGCACCCAGCAGTCTCCACTTTCATCGTGGGATACTTAACTGTCTACTTTAACATGGCCAATTACTTCATGATAATACTACTCTGGTAAGAATCTCCTTAGCTGAGTATCTCTTAACTAGGCCAATGCACTGTTGTTTTCTACCTTTATTGACACAAGCAAAGGAAAACACTGCACACAGCTCCATAAAATTTAGAGGCAACTTTACAGAAAACTTGCCTCCCCTTCAGTGTTTAGGCTATGAACAAGACAAATGCAAGTCTATTTGCAAACAGTATATTAAGCTCCAGAAGCCAAACTTTTAAAGGCATCAAGTCTGCATTTGACGTTTTAATGGCAAAGGTTTGGTTTCTATCAATCACAACGTCATGTAACATTAAAATGTACCGACAAGAAAAAAAGAGATCTGTCATTCATTCATTAAGATGCTGTAATCCAGTGTAAGATTTATAGGCTTAAAACTCAATGGTGTGTTTTCACAATAAATCCACTTTCACTGCTCAGCACAGAACAAATCTCTCTGTCACTCAAAATATTTGCTGGTCAAAATGCCCTGTATGAGATCTTCAAAGGGTTTCTCACAAAATTGCATATAAATCCTTTTACCAGCAAAGGCTTAATTTAGGTTCAAGTTTTACTTTCTTGGGACATTGGTTAATATCTTGGGCTCAGACAAGATCTTGGTTATATCAAAAACACATAGAGCCTAATTTATTATTAGCAGTCTGGTGTTAATTAGGGGGAATTACCAGAAATAGTTTGCTTGATGGAAATTTATTATGGGATCACACTTTACTGATGGCAAAATAGGAGTCACTGAAAGAGTGCAGCTCCTTCTCATAACCAACTAATTAATAAGGTGCCAAAATTCCTCTGAGAAGGTTTGGTCCTAACTATGGGAACCTCACAGAGCAAATGGTTCCTATGCAGTATTTAAAATTTAAAAGAGGAAAAGAGGGAGGAGAAAAAGCTGCCTAGCAGAAGTCTCAAAAGTGGTATGGCTTTTTCTTGAATTTATGGAAGAAAATATTTAGCTGCGTTTCCAAGCTCATTAAAGAATGGCTTTTCTCAGACAGAAAAACAACAGCTAGTTTATAATCTCATTTGGTATGCTTGAACTTGGTTTTCAGTTTTACTTGTGCATACTGCACGCCACAGCTTGTAATTTTATGAATTGGGCTTATAATGAGCTTTTATATTACTCTTTATTGCTTTGCCTAATGGTCTTTTTCATCATCATTTGCCATGGAAGTTGAGGTTGGCATAGATAGGAAACTGAAAATAGAGCAAATCTCTGATAACCCCAATCTATTTTGTGTATGGGGTATATGTATAATCTATTTTAGTTTGGGGATAGAAAACCACTGTTTTTAGGGATGTCATGAAAATTGTGTGAGAATGGAATGTTATTATAAGGTGAAGTGGAAGCAAAAAACCAGAAATGTCTCTTAAGAAATTTAAAATCACCATGCTAAAATTTACACATGGGAGATTTGGAATAAAATATTTTCCATAAGATTTTCTTTTTAAATATTTCAGATGGTAGGGTATGCAAGTTGTAATAAAGCACTTTTGTATTTACACTGGAAGTGCCTTAAACTATTTAAAAATATCCAGTATTTTGGGTATGCTTTAGAAGGTTTCTCCTATACTGTAAAAATAAGGATTGTGTCATTGTGCTCTGAGTAATATTCACACTTTCCGTAGGATCACAATTGTTTCCTTTTCAGTACTGATGCCTTTGCTTTGCTTTTTCTTAGTGCTCAGCAGTGCCATTGTTTGTTTTAAAGTATTTCAGTACAAGATAATCCTGTCAGGTGTGTCCCTTATTTCTCTTTGTGATGCATCAACGAAATGTCAAATGTTCCTTTGGTAAATATAAACTTGCACTAAATTTTGGCACTCTTTCCAAAGTGTCAAGTTTTCCCACCCAGAAGTTTCCGCTGGAAAAATAACTCGAGATACTAGACCAAAACAGTAATTATATCCCACATAAAGTCTTTATTTCCCTTGAAATCCATTAAGCAAAAGGGAAACACATAAAAACAAGTGTAGGGCCAAAATCATTGATACCCCAAGCAGATACAGCTTCACTGATTTCAACTTATTCCTCTCCAAAAAAAAAAAGTGCCTGGTATCAAAGTTACATTAAGTTCATGCTTACAGTTGTCCAGTGAGTAAGATCAGAATTAAACTAAGGATTTGGTCCTTGGTTTTAGCGGGATTTCCATTATGTGTCACAAATCTACTTGAAGTTATGCTCTCATTTGGGAGTTAATGAAACAGTTGAGTACCATGTTACCCAGAGACAGGAACAGACTGCAAGAAATAAGTCTGCTTTCTAACTGTATATTTCATTACTCAGACCTCAGATGTTTAGTGTCTCTGAATGAACCAGAACAGGTTACATAAGAAAGGGGAAATCTTTCCCTGATACTAATCTGCCTGTTCTCACACCTTGCTGATTCGGTGAAATCTGATGAAATTGTTATATATTTCTACTCAAATAGAACATAAAAGATTTGTATTCATCCTGTGCTTGGATCAGCATTCTCTGAGAATAAAAAGGATGGTGAATTCATAAATAGTTTGGCTCTGCATGAAAGACAAACTATTGGTATTTGCACTAAGTTGAGGTACTCTCTGTGGGTTTTACTCACATAAGAGTTCTTCAGCATTTCTTGCCATTTATGTTCGTTGTCCTAGCAGTGTTCCTCCAATTTCTGTAAAGCCTTCAAAGTACTCTTTAAGGTTGGATTGAGAATTGCTCAGATGTTTCCGATTTTTTTCAAATTCACTTTCATTATTGGAAGTGTTGATCATGACACTTACAGTGATCACTCTCTCCCACTGTGTGCAAACAATGAATTACATTTCATAGGGTGGGATTTATTTATTTATTTATTTTATATATGGCCTACTCTTCTCTGTATGTTCTCAATCTGTGCCTGTGGGAGGCAGATAAGGTATAAAATAGAACAACTTAATGTTTACCTGGGGTCCAATTGTGGACTTATACTTGGCTTTAAACAACTGCAATGAAAATTTACTGTGTGACTGGTTTTTCCATATGTGGTACTCACTGACCATCAGTAGAGGATTACTGGGAAATTCTGACAAGTGGTGTCTGGAGAAGAATATAGGTTGGACTTTCTCTGAAATAAATCAGTGTATATCAGTGGGAGTAAAATGATACTACAATAAGGCTGCAAAATTTTATATAAATCTTGCATGCTATTTTTTGATGCAAAGTCAACAAGGATGGAAATTGGTAGTCCAAATCAGGTTTTTTTAATAGTAACAATGTTTTCTGTCCTGCCCTTTATGTCTTCCCATGATATACACTAAGATCCTGTCTTATTCCTGGAAGGGAGAAAAAGTGTGTTAAGCAGCAATTTTTAGTTGTGCTTTCAGTTACTGTAGAGACAGAAGGGAGCTGCAGTGGAGCTGCAGGACTTGAGTCACGGTGACAGGAGGAAAGAGGAAGTGGCAGTAGCAAACAGTTTTAGAAAAAGGCCAAGAGCTTGTGCAAGTCAGGCCATTTTGTCAGTTGTTTTTTGTCAGAGATTCGTGAATGTGTGCTCTGAAAAAGGGGGATGATTGGGGGATACCAAGGTAAAACAGCAGGCAGGAGCTGAAGATGCTCCTAAGGGGGACCTAAAGGGTGCACAGGCCTTACAGCCTCCTGGGAGGGGACTTTTCTCTCCCCCGCTATTTTACATTTATATTCATCACCAAATTGTGTGCATTTTTCTTCTCTCA